TGTAACATATACAGACCATAAGCTAATTATAAGGACAGGAACATTGATCAATAGAGTCATTATATATGCGTCCCATTAGTCATTGTTTGGAGACATAAACATTCAAAATAAAAACATACATTTGTGGAAAATCAGCTGCTTTGTTTTAATCTTTATTGTTATAATTTTATACAACCGCAAAAAAAATTTGCGGTCCTATATTGGTATGACGTTGGCGTAGTCGTCGTCCGAAGACACATTGGTTTTCGCACAATAACTTTAGTTTAAGTGATTAGATCTCTATGAAATTTTACCATAAGGTTCAATACCACGAAAGGAAGGTTGGGATCGATTTTGGGGGTTATGGTACCAACAGTTAAGGAATTAGGAGCCAAAAAGGGGCCAAAAATAAGCATTTTTTTAACTTCAAGACAATAACTTGTGTGTTAGTGTATGGATCTCTCTGACATTGTACCACAAGGTTCCATATCACAAAGGGAATGCTGGGATTGATTTTGGTAATTGCGTCAAAATTTTAGGAATAAGGGGCAAAAAAAGGGGCAAAAAACAAGCATTTTTCTAGTTTCATGACAATAACTTGTGTGTAAGTGTATAGATCTTTCTGAAATTGTACTACAACGTTCCATATCACAAAGGGAAAGCTGGAATTGAGTTTGGGGTAATTGCCCAAAACGTTTAGGAATAAGGGGCCAAAAATAAGCATTTTTCTAGTTTCCAGACAATAACTTGTGTTCAAGTGTATGGATCTCTCTCAAATATTACTGCAAGGTATCATACCACAAAGGGAAGGCTGGGATTGATTTTGAGGGTAATTGCCTCAAAATTTTAGGAATAAGGGGCAAAAAAGGGGCAAAAAACAAGCATTTTTCTAGTTTCAGGACTATAACTTGTGTGTAAGTGTATGGATCTTTATGAAATTGTACTACAAGGTTCCATCACAAAGGGAAAGCTGGGTTTGAGTTTGGGGATAATTGCCCAAAACGTTTTGGAATTCGGGGCCAAAAAGGGGCCTACATTAAGGTCCAAAGGATCCAAAATTAAACTTAGTTTGATTTTAACAAAAATTGAATTCTTGGGGTTCTTATATATGCTGAATCTAAACATGTGTTTAGATTTTTGATTATGGACCCAATTTTCAAGTTGGTCCAAATTTGGGTCCAAATTAAACTTTGTTTGATTTCAACAAAAATCGAATATATGAGGTTCTTTGATATACTGAATCTAACCATGTATTTAGATTATTGATTAATGGGCCCCGTTATCAAATTGGTCCACATTGAGGTCAAAAGGGTCCAAAATTAAACTTTGTTCAGGGGTTCAAATTAGCAGTGGTCCGAGGTCCGTGACCTTCCACTGTTGCAATCGGACTTTCGTTTTGGTTACTAGCTACGCCCGACGGACCTTCGATCTTAAAGGAAATAAAAATGATTTTTGCTGACCTTTTTAACCATCTGTATCGTCATTTTTAAGCCATACTTATATTATTATTGAAATTGAGATAAAAAAAATGTTTCATTCCTGACCTTGCAGACGAGTGATAAAAGTTATTTTTAACCTTGTATTTCTTGGAAACACAAGGTTATAAATAGTTGCGAGAAGTCACGTGACAAATCATTTAATCATTTAGACATTTTAGAACAAAATGAGTCTGTTTCACTTTGGTGTCACGTCTTCCAAGAGAAAGCCTGAAGATTATGAACGGTCTTCAACCACAGGCACTTGTTTCTATCCATGGGAAGGTCGACTATCCATAAATATGGAAGGATATTCAACCTTCCCATGGATAGAAACAAGTGCCTGTGTCTTCAACGTCTTCAAAAGAAATCAAATGAAGATCTCACTAAAAACAAAAAATGCGATCGTGAAAAACGGGAACGGAGCCCTTCAGGAAAATCGATCGACCGTGGCTATATTTTGATGAATCAACTGGTCTAATGTCATGCACATACTGCCAGAAGTTCCCCTCTCATTCAGAAAAAGAAAGTGCACTTGTAAGGGGAACACAAAATCTTAAAATAGACCCAATAAAAATATACGAAGTGACACCCCAGCATTTATCTTGTTTAAAGCAGTGGATCCATGAAAGTGACCCAAATTTTAAGTCTAATTATGACTAAAGATTAATTGTCAGACACTAAACTTGGACAATGTATTCTCAAGCAGAATGTAAGCCTGATCAGTTAAATAGATATAAGGTTCTTTTCAACACTGCATACAGTATTGCAAAAAAGGGAAACCCTTCAGTTACTATGAATTTATTCTTGAAATCCAGTGCAAAAATGGTGTTGATGTGTAAGCAGTACTTCAATATTGAAGGTTGTAAACTGTTTATTTGCTGGATAGCCAATTTAGGCATTATATGAGAAACGAAACATCACATGCAGTTCAAATATGATGAAACAAACTAACCTCACTCCAAAAGCTCATTAATTTGTATCTTATTGAGTTATGAAATTTTTCCTGTAAAAGTAGGACCTTTCAGTTTGGAGTGTCAAAGGTCCTGGACCTTCCAGTACCAAATGTTAATTTGAACCCCTGCAATAGTACTGAAAGTGGTGTTAAACATCAACAATCAATCCTTACCACGACGATATAGACAATAGTACTGAGAGTGGTGTTAAACACCAACAATCAATCAATCCTTACCACGACGATATAGACAATAGTACTGAAAGTGGTGTTAAACACCAACAATCAACTCTTACCACCACGATATAGACAATAGTACTGAAAGTGGTGTTAAACACCAACAATCAATCAATCCATCCTTACCACCACGATATAGACAATAGTACTGAAAGTGGTGTTAAACATCAACAATCAATCAATCCATCCTTACCACCACGATATAGACAATAGTACTGAAAGTGGTGTTAAACACCAACAATCAATCAATCCATCCTTACCACCACGATATAGACAATAGTACTGAAAGTGGTGTTAAACACCAACAATCAATCAATCAATCTTTACCACCATGATATAGACAATAGTACTGAAAGTGGTGTTAAACACCAACAATTAATCAATCAATCCTTACCACCAAGATATAGACAATAGTACTGAAAGTGGTGTTAAACACCAACAATCAATCTATCAATCCTTACCACCTCAATATAGACAATAGTACTGAAAGTGGTGTTAAACACCAACAATTAATCAATCAATCCTTACCACCAAGATATAGACAATAGTACTGAAAGTGGTGTTAAACATCAACAATCAATTCTTACCACCACGATATAGACAATAGTACTGAAAGTGGTGTTAAACACCAACAATCAATCAACCCTTACCACCAAGATAGAGACAATAGAACTGAAAGTGGTGTTTAACATCAACAATCAATCCATCAATCCTTACCACCTTGATATAGACAATAGTACTGAAAGTGGTGTTAAACACCAACAATCAATCAACCCTTACCACCAAGATATAGACAATAGTACTGAAAGTGGTGTTAAACACCAACAATCAATCAATCCTTACCACCACAATATAGACAATAGTACTGAAAGTGGTGTTAAACACCAACAATCAATCCTTACCACCACGATATAGACAATAGTACTGAAAGTGGTGTTAAACACCAACAATCAATCAATCAATCCTTACCACCACGATATAGACAATAGTACTGAAAGTGGTGTTAAACACCAACAATCAATCAATCAATCCTTACCACCACGATATAGACAATAGTACTGAAAGTGGTGTTAAACATCAGCAATCAATTCTTACCACCACGATATAGACAATAGTACTGAAAATGGTGTTAAACACCAACAATCAATCAACCCTTACCACCAAGATATAGACAATAGAACTGAAAGTGGTGTTTAACATCAACAATCAACCGATCCTTACCACCACGATATAGACAATAGTACTGAAAGTGGTGTTAAACACCAACAATCAATCAATCCTTACCACCACGATATAGACAATAGTACTGAAAGTGGTGTTAAGCACCAACAATCAATCAATCCTCACCACCACGATATAGACAATAGTTCTGAAAGTAGTGTTAAACATCAACAATCAATCAATCCTTACCACCATGATATAGACAATAGTACTGAAAGTGGTGTTAAACACCAACAATCAATCAATCCTTACCACCACGATATAGACAATAGTACTGAATTTGAAAGTGGTGTTAAACACCAACAATCAATCAATCCTTACCACCACGATATAGACAATAGTACTGGAAGTGGTGTTAAACATCAACAATCAATCAATCCTTACCACCACGATATAGACATAGTACTGAAAGTGGTGTTAAATACCAACAATCAATCAATCAATCCAATTTAGTTTTTGCCAAAATGCCAAGGTTCTCAAGCGATACACTCTTGTTTGAGGCTCTTGTCTAATTTTCATTTCTGCTTTTTATCTTTAAACTACAAAACCTGGTTGAGCAAAAATGATCAGCAAGACAGGTTTTGGCACAAATTTTCCAATAAACACAAATATTATTGTTGCATTGTATAAATTTTGAGGGGCAAAAATGCTGGGTAAGCCGTATACAGGCTCCTTCGAGCCTATATAGTTTAGTTATACCCCAAATACTATCTTAGCTTAAGGGACAATTTTATTTTACGGTTGAACATATCTATACTTAATTTACCACAAATTACATACTTCAAATGGAGGTTATCCAAAAGTTGACGGAGACATAATCAAGACAAATGGTAACAAGTGTAAGGTCACAGAATATTAGAATATTCTACAGTTGGAATAATTTTCGATTCAAAGGTGCATTTAAAATGCTCTTGCAAATAAACACAAAGTAAATTCAAAAACAACCTGTACACTTTTACTCTGGGCCTCACAATTTTTTGGAAAATATGAAAATTTTATCGATAAATATATTATATAATGTGTAACATTTTTATTGTATATTATTTTTGGGGGGTTTATATTTTAGAAATTTAATAGTTCTACAAGAAATATGAGTAAAGGTATATTCACAGTGCATATTGCTTATTTTTCAGTCTGTCATGTCAGAGGAATCTTCAGGTGTGACTGGTGGTCAAGGGATGGAAGGTAATTTTCATTAATAATTTTTGTAATAAATATTTGGTATTTTAAAAGTGTTTGGTGTATATGTCTGTCTGGCAGAGTTCATATCAGGATCTTTTGTGGCCAACTACATACCGTAAATTCGAAATTATTGCGTGCATTTATTATTGCGATTTTTTTGTACGACCGCAAATTTATTTGCAGTAGTATTATGTTATGGTGTTGTCTGCGTCTGCATCTGAAGACATTTTGGTTCGCAGACAATAACTTGATTATAAGTTCATGGATCTCTATGAAATTTTAGCACAACATTCCATACCACTAAAGAACGGTTGGGATTGTTTTGGGGGGCTATTGTCCTAGCTATTTAGCTCACCTGGCCCAAAGGGCCAAGTGAGCTTTTCTCATCACTTGGCGTCTGTCGTCCGTTGTCGGTGTCCGTTAACTTTTACAAAAATCTTCTCCTCTGAAACTACTAGGCCAAATTTAACCAAACTTGGCCACAATCATCATTAGGGTATCTAGTTTAAAAAATGTGTCCGATGACCCGGTCAACCAACCAAGATGGCCGACATGGCTATAAATAGAACATAGGGGTAAAATGTAGATTTTGGCTTATATCTCTGAAACCAAAGCATTTAGAGCAAATCTGACATGGGGTAAAATTGTTTATCAGGTCAAGATCTATCTGCCCTGAAATTTTCAGATGAATCTGACATCCCGTTGTTGGGTTGCTGCCCCTGAATTAGTAATTTTAAGGAAGTTTTGCCGTTTTTATACGACCGCAAAAAAATTTTTGTGGTCGTATATTGGTATGACGTTGGTGTCGTCGTCCGGCGTCGTCGTCGTCCGAAGAAGCATTAGTTTTCGCACTCTAACTTTAGTTTAAGTGAATGAATCTCTATGAAATTTTACCATAACGTTCAATACAACAAAAGGAAGGTGGGGATTGATTTTGGGGGTTATGGTACCAACAGTTAAGGAATTAGGGGCCAAAAAGGGGCCAAAAATAAGCATTTTCTAGTTTCCAGACAATAACTGTGGAACGGTGTATGGATCTCTCTGAAATTATACTACAAGTTTCCATACCACAAAGGGATGGTTAGGATTTGCTTTGGGGGGTTATGGCTCAAACCGTTTAAGAATTAGGGGCAAAAAAGGGGGAAAAACAAGGTTGTCCTGGTTAATGGACAAATACTTTAGTACAAAACATAATTTAAAGCAGTGTAAGGGAGATAAATCAAATACATCATTGAAATTATCTCCCTTACACTGCTTTTAAATTATGTATAAAGTAATGGTTAATGAACAATTAAGATAATTTAAAACAGTGTAAGGGAGGTAATCCAAATACAACGTTTTGGTTACTTCCCTTACACTGCTTTTAAATTATGTTTAAAGAAATGCATATTTATAAAGGAAGACCAGTAAAAATATCTGCAAATGTTGCATCTTTTTTTTTTACAAAAAAATCCATATGAAAGATTTGACACTATATTTTAAATTCTATTATAAAATAGATTAAGTTAGCACTATGGTAAATTTAAATGGGTAATTATGGTTTGGGGGAAAAAAGGGGGGGGGGTAAAAAGAAATTGTGGGGGGTCAATTTTTTCTCATTTCAGATTTCAGAAATTAAAAAGAATTATTCTTCAAATATTATTTTTTTTTCAAATTTCAAATATTGAAAAATTTCAAGAAGTAATCTTTAATTGCACAGTATGGCGCATTAGATTTGTAAAATCTTTGACCATATTTATTTATTTGTTATGCCGAATCTAACCGTGTATTTAGATTTTTAATTTTGGATCCAGTTTTCAAATTGGTCTACATTAAGTCCAAAGGGTCCAAAATTAAACTTTGTTTGATTTTAACAAAAATTGAATATATGGGGTTCTTTGATATGCTGGATCTAAACATGTATTTAGATTTTTGATTTTTGGCCCAGTTTTCAAGTTGGTCCAAATTGGGGTCCAAAATTAAACTTTGTTTGATTTCAACAAAAATTGAATATATGGGGTTCTTTGATATGCTGAATCTAACCATGTATTTAGATTTTTTATTTGTGGACCCCACTATCAAATTGGTTCATATTGAGGTCAAAAGGGTCCAAAATTAAACTTTGTTTGATTTCATCAAAAATTGAATTATTGGGGTTCTTTGATATGCCAAATCTAACCGTGTATTTAGATTTTAAATTTTGGGTCCCGTTTTTTAAATTGGTCTACATTAAGGTCCAAAGGGTCCAAAATTAAACTTAGTTTGATTTTAACAAAAATTGAATTTTTGGGGTTCTTTGATATGCTGAATCTAAACATGTGTTTAGATTTTTGATTATGGGCCCAGTTTTCAAGTTGGTGCAAGTTGGGGTCCAAAATTAAACTTTGTTTGATTTCAACAAAAATTGAATATATGGGGTTCTTTGGTATGCTGAATCTAAACATGTATTTAGATTTTAGATTTTTGGCCCAGTTTTCAAGTTGGTCCAAATTGGGGTCCAAAATTAAACTTTGTTTGATTTCAACAAAAATTGAATATATGGGGTTCTTTGATATGCTGAATCTTACCATGTATTTAGATTTTTTATTTGTGGGCCCGCTATCAAATTGGTTCATATTGAGGTCAAAAGGGTCCAAAATGAAACTTTGTTTGATTTCATCAAAAATTGAATTATTGGGGTTCTTTGATATGCCAAATCTAACCATGTATTTAGATTTTTAATTTTGGGTCCCGTTTTTTAAATTGGTCTACATTAAGGTCCAAAGGGTCCAAAACTAAACTTAGTTTGATTTTAACAAAAATTGAATTCTTGGGGTACTTTGATATGCTGAATCTAAACATGTGTTTAGATTTTTGATTATGGGACCAGTTTTCAAGTTTGTCCAAGTTGGGGTCCAAAATTAAACTTTGTTTGATTTCAACAAAAATTGAATATGCTGAATCTAACCATGTATTTTGATTTTGGACATTGGACCATAATAGGTAAATTAAAAAAATTGAAGTTCTTAGACCACATTCTTTCTGTGTCAGAAACCTATGCTGTGTCAAATATTTAATCACAATCCAAATTCAGAGCTGTATCAAGCTTGAATGTTGTGTCCATACTTGCCCCAGCTGTTCAGGGTTCGACCTCTGCGGTCGTATCAAGCTGCGCCCAGCGAAGCATTTTATTGGTTATTATCTTGAATATTATTATAGATAGAGATAAACTGCAAACAGCAATAATGTTCAGCAAAGTAAGATCTACAAATAAGTCAACTTGACCAAAATGGTCAGTTGACCCCTTAAGAAGTTATTGCCCTTTATAGTCAATTTTTAACCATTTTTCGTAAATTTTTGTAATCTTTTACAAAAATCTTCTCCTCTGAATCTACTGAGACAAATTTAACCAAACTTGTCCACAATCATCATTAGGGTATCTAGTTTAAAAAATGTGTCTGATGACCCCGCCCGCGAACCAAGATGGCCGACATGGCTAAAAAATAGAACATAGGGTAAAATGCAGTTTTTGGCTCATATCTCTGAAACCAAAGCATTTAGAGCAAATCTTACAAAAATAAAATTGTTCATTAGGTCAAGATCTATCTGCCCTGAAATTTTCAGACCAATCAGGCAACAGGTTGTTGGGTTGCTGCCCCTGAATTAGTAATTTTAAGAAAATTTTGCAGCTTTTGGTTATTATCTTGAATATTATAATAGATAGAGATAAACTGTGAACAGCAATAATGTACAGCAAAGTAAGATCTACAAATAAGTCAAACTGACCAAAATTGTCAATTGACCCCTTAAGGAGTTATTGCCCTTTATAGTAAATTTTTTACAATTTTCATAAATTTTGTAAATTTTTGTAAAGGTTATTGTCGTAGCTGTTTAGGAATTAGGGGCCAAAAAGGGGCCAAAAACAAGCATTTTTCATGTTTCAGGACAATAATTGGTGTATAAGAATATAGATTTCTATGAAATTTTACCACAAGGTTCCATACTTCAAAGAAGTTTAGAATGAGTTTTGTCGAGCCTGCGACTTTTGTCGCAAAAAAAGTCGCAAAAGCGAGACATAGCGATCCTACATTCCGTCGTCGTCGTCGGTGGGGGCATCCACAAATATTCACTCTGTGGTTAAAGTTTTTGAAATTTTAATAACTTTCTTAAACTATCCTGGATTTCTACCAAACTTGGACAGAAGCTTGTTTATGATCATTCATAAGACAGTATCCAGAAGTAAATTTTGCAAAAAAAAAAAATCCTGTTTATCCGTATTTTACTTATAAATAGACTTAGTTTTTCTGCCAGTTAACATTACATTCACTCTGTGGTTAAAGTTTTTAAAATTTTAATAACTTTCTTAATCTATCCTGGATTTCTACCAAACTTGGACAGAAGCTTGTTTATGATCATAAGACAGTATCTAGAAAGAAATTTTGTAAAAATTTATTACCTGTTTTTTCGTATACTACTGGACTTAGTTTTTCTTCCAGTTAACATTACATATAGTCTGCAGTTAAAGTTTTAAAAACATTTATAAGTTCCATAAACCATCCTGGATTCTTACCAGACTTGGACAGAAGCTTCTTACAATCAAAAGATAGTATCTAGAGGAAAATGTTTAAAAAAATTTTCCCCATTTTTGTTGAGCCTGCGACTAACGGCAAAAGTAGGCGAGACACTGGGTTCTGCGGAACCCTTACGAATTTTTGAGTGTCATGGCCCATACCGTTTAATAATTAGGGGTCGAAAAGGGGCAGAAGACAATTATTTTTCTAGGTTGCAGGCAATAACTTGAATATAAGTGTATGGATCTCTATTCAATTTTAGCACAAGGTTCCATACCACAATAGGAAGGTTGGGTTTTTTTTCGGGGGTTATTATAGTAGCTGTTTAGGAATTAGGGACCAGAAAGAGCCTAACAAAAACAATTATTTGTCTGGTTCACAGAAAATAACTTGTATAACTGTATATATCTGTATAAAATTTAAGCACAAGGTTGCATTCCACAATAGGAAGGATGGGATTTATTTTGGGGGTTA